ATACCATCTATGATCTCATTATCACCTTGTGACTCACCCTTTTTATCCCTTCTGATGCCAGTCTTCCCCACATGACCAACCTCCACTGACCATCCATGACCCCATTGTTAAACTTTTCTCCCAATAGATCTCCCTGCCCCTAGGATGACTTGCCTTTGCACTGTCTCCAACCTCAGCTCCATACCTTGGCCTCTACCACTACACCCCTGTTCTTTGTTTTCCCCTCACTCTCTGTGAATCCCTCTGATCCCCTGTGACCCACCTTCTTCCTTGGGGCCTTGCCTGCTTTGTCTCTGGCTTTCTTCACCCATGACCTGTGTATGTAGGAGAGAAAAATTAAGGATGTGGAGGTAGTTAAGGGGTTAGAGGAGGAAAGAAGAGTGGGGGAAAAGCAGAAGAAGAAAGTGAAAGAAGCTACAGAGGAAACCACAAGGCCTGGAGGAAGGAGAGGTCATTACCATGGTTACCCCCCTGGTTGTGGGGGAAGGATATAGGGTCTTGTCCCAGTGCCCCTTCTCTACCTGCTTCCTCCTCCCAGCAACTACAATCCATCTGACATTAATTGAGCACCTGTTATGAGATAGGCAGTGTGCCAGATGGTGTGGCTACAGCAGAGAGTTTGGCAGAGCCAGTCCCTGCCCTCAAGGACTTCTGGTGAGACCTGTGAACCAGATCTTGGTCCAGTTCCCTCTAAAAGCTCACTGTGGTCAAGTATGGGAAGAGGGCAGATCTCATCAACTTTCCACAACCAGATATCCTTGCAGGCTTCATGCTTGCCTTGATCAGCACTTTCTGCTTCTCCCAGGTCCATTTCACCTCTTCCAGGCCTTCAGTAGGCTCAACTACCATCTTGGCTCATTGGCCCTCAATCTCATTCTCTGAATGAAATTGTGCCTCTAGGCTTGTGCCCCTCTCTCCAGCTTCCCAGCTGCCTAATCTTTGAATTTCTCAAAGGCTCTTCACTTCCCACCCCCATTACTCCTTATCTCTACTGCTTCTCTTATCAAGCCCTTAGTGTGTGCTACCCACTGTTCTATGCAATTGATATGAATTATTTCATTCTCAAAACAATCCTATGAACCCCATGACAGATGAGAAAACAATCACAGTGAAGGGGTAAGTTACCTTAGATCCCAGAACGAATAAGTAGTGGAAGCAGGATTTGAACCTGATCATTTTGATTCCAGAGCCCATTGTAGTAAAGCACTCACTACGATACAGTGGATATGTGGGTTTTCAAAGTGATCAATAGTCTCTCTCTCATCTCTCTCCCTACACTACTTACTGCCTCCATATTTCTTCCTTCCTATCAGGTTCCTAGCATCGCTGGGTGGTGCAAAAGATTAACACACTTGGCTGCTGATCTAAAGGTTGGCAGCTCGAGTCCACCCAAAGGTGCTTCAGAAGAAGGCTCTCTCCTTCCAAAAATCCAGCCATTGAAAACCATGGAGTACAGTTCTACTCTGACACACGTGGGGTCACCACGAGTCAGAACTGACAACAACTGGTATCATTTCGCCATATGAGGAGGTGGAAACGATCGGTTTGGAGGCAGGAAGACCAAGATATAAATCCCAGACCAGCCACTGACTAGCTGTGTGAAATTAGGCTAAATTCTTTACTTCTACCTCTGAGCCTCAATCTCTACATCTGTAAAATGGGGGCAAATACTAATACCTATGGAACATCAAAGGCGCTATGGTGGTGTAGTGGTTAAAGCACTGGGCTGCTAACAAAAGTTTGGTGGTTCAAACCCACTAGCCACTCCTTAGGAGAAAGATGAAGAGTTCTGCTTCTGTAAAAATTTACAGCCTTGGGGACTCTATGGGGGCAGTTCTACTCTGTCTTATAGGATCATTATGAGTCAGAATCAATGGCAGTGGGTTTGAGTTATTTTGAGTTTATGTAATATGATACACCCAATCCAAGATAAAGTGTTCAATAGATGAGCTCTCTTGCTTCCTTCTCCCAGATCCCTGTAGCATATACTCCCTTGGCCCAGCCCCACCCGTATCAGTTCAACCTTCTAGATCAGTCACTTCCACACCCCCAAGTCTCCCCCACCCCAGGGTGTGTCACTTCCTCCTCTGCAGCCTCCAGCCTAATGCAGATGCAGATCAGCACACACAGTCTGCCACAGCCGCTGGAGGAAGGGCTGCTCTGCACGCACCTGTGAGTACCAGGGCATGGCCCTCCTGCCTCTTCTCCTTACAAGCCCAGGCTCCACCTGGTCCCAACCTCCCGGGAAGAGGGTTCTGACCTGAAGACATCCAGAGGCCTATCTAGACAGAAAGACTTTCTGCATTCCTGGGAGCCTCTGTCCCTTGTCCCTCCTCCATTTTTATCCCTACACACACACACAAGCACACACACACACCTCTTTGCATCATTTCCCAAGAGTGGGACTGAGGAAGGAAAAAGAGGTGGGAACGTGAATGAGTGCCTGCCATGTGCCAAGGACTATGCCAAGGTAGGATTATCCCAACATTATTCCCCAGCTGCGCAGTGCCTTGACCTTAGCTCAGATCTCCTCCCAATCAGCATCTTGGCCATCAGACTCCACACCCCTGGGAGACTTGGCCCAGTTGCTCAATTCCATCCCCTCTTTGTGACTCTGTCTAACTGGGCAACAAACAGAAGCTTCTGCTTGACTTGGGAGGCCCAGATGGCTTGGGAAGAGGCTCTGCTTCTTCGCTGCTGAGGTGGGAATAAAGGGTGTATTGGAGATAGAACTGAGTCCAGGAAAATGGACAACCACATAGGAGAGGGAAAAAAAGAAAGACTGAAGAAAACCCTCTGGAAAGAGAAAGGAGAGTGGGAAGAAGGCACAACTTTGATGATGATGATGGTATATGGCTTAGAAAGGAGGAAGCCCAAATAAGCCAAGAGGCCTGACCTGTCCAATCCCTTCTCTACTTCCAGTTTGTTGCATGACATTGGGTTAGTCACCTACCACTCTGGGCTTTAGGTTTCTATTTGTAAAAAGAGGGAGTTGTAGAAGATTCTGACATTCTATGGTTAGGATCAGAGGAGGGAAAGGAAGTAAAACAAAGAACAAATAAAAAAAGAACTGTAAAGAAATCAAGAAGATAAAAGATGCAGTCAGATTTTTTAATAAGGGGCCAGAGAGAGAGATGGGGAAAAAAAAAAGGAGACCATAGAAGCAAGAGTGAGTGGCAGGTCATATGCCCTTCAGGTAAGAAGGAAGTGGAATTAAAAGAGAGGACTGAGCAGGACTGTCTGTAAGACCCCCTATATTGGGAGATGAGTGGGGCTTGGGGTCTCTGGGCTTGCCCTTTTCTGAGGAACCAGTGCGGTAGTGGGGCCCCACCTATGAGAGATGAGTCAACACTGGGTTTTGTGCTACAGCATCGCCCAGCCTCCGGACCACAGGAGTGCCGAGCAAGCAGGGCTGAGGTTAAGCTAAGTCTGAACCCTGGGCCAGATGGAGGCTCTGTGACATGCTGCAGCTGGGGTCACAGGTGGTGGGGAGTAGGGCTGAGTTTCAACGATTTCTTTGCACTCTACCCCTTCCCCACACTCCATGCAGGGATCTTTATCTGAGTCTAGGACCAGGCTGAGGAAGATGCAGATGCTTTATGGCAAAGACTTGTCTAGTCTTTCTTCTACCATGCAGATGGGAATGTAAAGGGGTGTTATCCCTAAGGTGGTCCTCAGTCTTACAAAATGATCCATATCTGTTGGCCCTTGCAAATCCTCTCCTAGGGGGTTATCCTACTGATTGACTTTGACACATGTGAAATGATCAATACATGAATTTTCATTTATAATAGTGAAAAATTAGATCCAATTTAAATGTCCATCATTAAGGGATTGATTAGGTACGATATGATATATCCATGCAATAGAAATCTATGTAGCTGGACAAATGAAGAAAGAAGCTTTTTATTTTCCCGGGTAGAAAGAGCTCCAAGAAAAGTAGTTAAAATAAACAAGTAAGGTACAGAACTGGCTGTATTCTACCATTTGAAGAGACTACATATTCATATGTCTGTATATGCTGAAAACAGTCTCTGAAAAGATACATAAAAAATGAATAACAATGGTTATGTATTTAGAGTGGTTAGATAAGGGGTAGGGATGAGAGACTTCTCACTGTACCTTTTTTAATTTTTTGAACCCTAGAAATGGATTGCCTATTCAAATTTTTAATTAGGAAGTTTTTTAAAAAGCACAAGTTTGCCTGGTCTTACCCTAGGTCATCATAGAGCCCATTTCAAGAATCACGCTACCTCCAGACTTTCTCTAATCTAGATCCTCTTGGTACAAAGTCATGGGAAAATTCTTTACTATTCTTTTATTATTATTATTATTAGGATTTGGGTGAAGATTTACAGAGTAAATTCACTTTTCATACAGCAGTTCACATATACTTTGTCTCATGTCATTGACCAAAATTTACAATGCAGCAGCTCCCCTCCCACTTCCTCCCCATAGTTACCTCCTCCCAGTGTCCATCCCTTCATACTCTTCTGCACCCTGAGCTATCTCCCTGTGCACAAGCAGCCCTTCCTTCTCCCATGATTGTTCTCTCCAGGGCGTGTGTCTACTTGAGGTAAATGTTTAACTCACATCCACAGTTGTGGGTTCAATTCCAGACCTGAAGGGCAGCTAGGGGCCATAGTCTCAGTGGTTCCACCAGGCTCTATTGGACCAGCAAACCTGGTCCCCATCTTCTTCTTTTTTTTTTTAATTATTTACTATTCTTGACCTTTCCTCTCATGTCAGACCTTTAGGAAGTCCTTCCTTCTTGTGGTCTTTTCTCTTGCTGCCATGTCAATCAAGTAGAGCCACCCTTCCCTGCTTCCTCCACACACTCCCTGCTCTGCTGCAGGCTTCTTTCCTCTCCTTCCTACTTCTCACCTTCTTCCCTTATTTAGACTCTTTGAATTCTTTTCTATTATTTTCCTTTATTTAGAGTCCAAGACTGGAAAAGTTATCTATTCAAGTCCCTCACTTTACAGGTGGAGACACTAAGGCCCAGAGAGAAAATCTGCCTTGTCCTACCTACAGCCAGTGAAAGACTGAGGCAGGACTGGAATCCTGTCCATGCCTTGCTTGGCTCTACCTCCACTATGGCTTGGCATCTTGGTGAAGAGACCTGTGTGCAACCCTTAGTGCCTCCAGGCCCAGCTTCCAAGCCTTTGGTTAGGCTATTGTATCCACCCCAGATTCATGAACTCTGCACACAGGAGGGAACAGGTCTTCTCTGAGGCCCCTACCCTAGCCTGGTACATGTCCCTTACCACCATTTTGAAGAAACTGCTGGATCCACAGGGGAAGTGAAACTATGAGGGGAGATAAGGAGTTGGGGTAGAATTCTGAGAGTGACAACCACAGTCTAAGTTTAGAGGACTGAGAGCTTACGGGTTCACCCTGAGGACCCACATGTCCCCCTTTACATCCTATTACAGGCCATGGTGGCTTTGTCAATGGTCCTTGGGTTCCTGTTGGCCTTGAGCAAAGGTGAGAGGGAACAGGATACCAAGATCCCGTCTCCAGGGAAGGCCACAGAACACGGGGATCCTGCCCTGTCTCTGCCAGGGTCTTGCCAGCCAGCCCCCTCCTGCCAGCAGTGCATCCTCTCACACCCCAGCTGCGCGTGGTGCAAGCAACTGGTAAAGATGAGCCTGTGGTCTTTGAACTGTGTGTATATGTATGTGAGTGTCTGTCAAAGCAAGGCTCCTGTGTGTGATGGTCTGAGCATCTGTGTCATTTTCTGGGTGTACTCTACAGCCCTGTGTGTGACTGAGTGTGTGCACATAGGGCTCCTGTGTGTGATTCTGTGTGGGTCTGGGTGTGGCAAACACTTGCACTCAAGGCTCCTGAGCATGTGTGCTTATATCTCTGTGTATATCATGTACATATGGAGAGAGTGTGTGGCCATGAATGTGGAGGAAGCATGGGCTTGGGGGAATTCATGTTTGTGTATAGGTAATTGGAGGAACCTGTTGTGCATGTACACATGTGAGAAAGCATGTGATTGGAGGAGGAGTTAGATTCCTGTGACTAGGGGGTCGATGAGGGATGGTATTTGAAGCCTGTAGGCTTAGGGGGAAAAGTCTTGTGTGCCCTAGATGGGAAGTGAATAGCTGAGGAAATGTTGAGGAAGGGGTCTCTCCCTGCCTAGTCAAATAAGAATGTTCTTTGTTTATGCCTTAAAGAGACAGGGCTCACTGTGTGGCAGGGCATGAGGGGTGCCCATGCTGGAACGGGAGGACAGAACTGTCCCTATCACAGAAATATGGGGCGTTAGATCAGTGCAGACACTGAGATAAGAGATGGGCAAACTCTAGGAGGCAGAGTTACAGAGGCTGAGAAGGCCTAGGAGAAAAGCACATAGACAGGATGGAGGGAGGCAGAGAGGCAGAGGTGCCAGGCTGGGGGAGGGGAGTAGAGACTCTTGGGACAGTGGGCTTCCTCTAGTCCCCAGACCAGACCGAGGCTGGCACCCAGGCCAGCTGAGAAGCCACTCTAACCATTTCCTTCCCCTGTGGCTTCCCAGCCAGTCCCAGGGGTGCCAGCCATGGAGGGGTGTGTGATAGGGTCTCCCTTTCTTTCCCTGTTCTTCCTTTTTCCAGGAACTGAGAGGTCTAAGCCCAGCCACCTCCCCATTTCAGCCTGAGAACCTAAAGAAGGTTTCACTAGAGACTAGGCTCCCCTTTTTTTGTGTGTGTGGTATTGAGGTCCCTGAGATCTCAACAGGAAGTCTGTGGCCCTAGAGGGAGGGCAAGGGTGAGTGCTTGGTAAAAGGGGGAGTCAAGATAAGAGTAGGGAGAGTGGGGGTGCTATAAGAAATGGGGTTCTCACAGGGAAAAGGCAGGAGATAAATGATACCTCTAGAAGGGATGGAAGGGGAGGGGATCAGAGAGGCTAAGGGAGTTGACTGAAGGGGAGGGGTTAGAAGGTGGCCCGGAGTACAGAGTGGTTCTGGGAGTGGAGTTGATGGACCCATGTAGGATCTGGGCGTCCTGATGCGCCTCCACTTGCCACACAGAACTTCACAGCATCGGGAGAGGCGGAGGCAAGGCGCTGCGCCAGGCGAGAGGACCTGCTGGCTTGGGGCTGTCCCCTAGAGGAGCTGGAGGAGCCCCGCGGCCGGCAGGAGGTGCTGCAGGACCACCCCTTCAGCCAGGGCGCCCGCGGCGAAGGCACGGTCCAGCTGGCGCCGCAGCGGGTCCGAGTCACACTAAGGCATGGTGAGTAAAGGGCCGTGGGCCAGGCAGAGGTCTGGGCTGCATTCTGAAGACTCCCAGCTAATCTCTCACTCATGACACTCCCTTTCAGGGGAGCCCCAGCGGCTCAGGGTCAGCTTCCACCGTGCCGAGGGCTACCCAGTGGACCTATACTACCTTATGGACCTGAGCTATTCCATGAAGGACGACTTGGAGCACGTGCGCAAGCTCGGGCATGACCTGCTGCTCCGGCTGCAGGAGGTCACCCATTCGGTGCGCATAGGTGAGCTGAGCGCTGTTCCCACCCCTTGTCTTAGACCTGACTTCAACTGCAGCCTTACCTTCTGACAACTGGACACACAAGAGCCCCGACTTGCCTTCTGTCTGTAACAGACCTGGCCAGGCCAAAATTCTGACATCTCTTAGGCTCGTCTTCCAGGTCAGAGGTGAAGGGGATTTACCAGACTGTATGACCTCTTGCTTTATCTGGGGTATCTGAGGCCCAGAGTCTGGAGAGGCTGTGTTCAGACAGCTCCTTAGATCAGATAGCTACCCTGAAGCCACTGTCTTAGCTCAGTGCCTCTTGGGCAAGGCCTGGATACCACTGTCCCTGGCTCCACATTCTGTGCGCATCTGTTCAAGATCCTCATCTTTTGCCTTGTGCTGCTCCTACATGCTACACCCTCACTTTCTTCTTCCTCAGCCTTCAGGAAGCTCTGTCTCCTTCCCCTGTTGTTTCCTCTACCCCCCACTTCCCTGGTTGGTGGGCTTACCCTTTTGCTCCGGACAGGCACTGGGTTCCTGTCCTCTAGGAGCACCTTCTCCATCACCTCCTTTATGGCTCCTTCACTTTTCCATGGGCTCCTCCCTTCTGAGTCCTTGGCAGGGACTCCTCCAACCAGCTGCTGCCTGGTGACATCTGGCACAACTTTCATGCCCCTCCCCTCTCAGGCTTCGGCTCATTTGTGGACAAAACAGTGCTGCCCTTCGTGAGCACAGTGCCTTCCAAGCTGCGCCACCCCTGCCCCACCCGGCTTGAGCCCTGCCAGCCACCCTTCAGCTTTCACCACGTGCTGTCTTTGACAACTGAGGCAAAGGTCTTCGAGCGGGAGGTGGGGCTCCAGAATGTGTCTGGCAACCTGGACTTGCCTGAAGGTGGCTTTGATGCCATTCTGCAGGCTGCAGTCTGCCAGGTGAGGAAGTGGGATGGTGTCTGAGCCTGGAGGATCATTTGGGTCCAGGACTGTCACCTCTGTTACATAATGCATAAATGAAGAGTGTCATTCATATCGTAGTCATTGTCTATTTGCATATTTATGTTTGCAATCTCTCGGCAGATTACAATATCTTGAGGAAGAATCATGTTTTTCTAATTCACTGGAAGGCCCCAGTGACGGCAGCCCTGTTTGGGGGACTGGGAGAACACAGAGAAGCAGGGAGCTGGAGACAGGGGGATGGAACATCTGGCTCAGAACAAGGCTGGCCAAATAAATCCTTAGCTCATAGAGATGGCTGGGGTGATGGAGGGCTGTGCCCAGGTACATAGACTACCTCCCATTCCATCCCAGGAGCAGATTGGCTGGAGAAATGTGTCCCGGCTGCTGGTGTTCACCTCAGATGACACATTCCACACAGCTGGGGATGGGAAGTTGGGTGGCATTTTCAGACCCAGTGATGGACGCTGCCACTTGGATAGCAATGGCCTCTATAGCCGCAGCACAGAGTTTGTGAGTTCTGCCTTCACCCTATTCCCCATCCCAGCCACACCTCCTCTTCTCCCAGGAATAATCCAAGCCCCAGTTTCACACTCCTTCCCCGGTGACCACTGTGGTTCCTCAGGAGTTCCTCTTCTCCATGTCCCTCAACTGCTCAGACAGGAAACCTGTCACGCCCCCCTTCCCTACTCCTTATTCCTTGCCTAGCCTCCAGAGCTCTTCCTTTTGATGGAACCCTGGTTTCTGGATTCTGTGGGCTGAGAGCATCTTATTTGGAGGGACCTATGGGAGCTCTGGTAGCATAGTGGCTAAGACACTTGCCTGCTAACCAGACGGCTGGTGGTTCAAACCCACCAGCCACTCCTCGGAAGGAAGGTTGGGCAATCCTACTTCCGTAGTGATACTGCCTCGGAAACCCAAGGAGGGGTCGCTATGAGTCGGGGCCGACTCGATGGCACATAACAACAACAACATGGTACTCACCATGTCCCCAACTCCCCCCCTTCAGGACTACCCCTCTGTGGGTCAGGTAGCCCAGGCCCTCTCTGCAGCAAATATCCAGCCCATCTTTGCCGTCACCAGTGCCACGCTGCCTGTCTATCAGGTAAGAGCTGTCTGAATGCCAGAATGCCCTACCTTTTCTCAATTCCTCCAAAGATTCATTCTCCCCGCCATATGCCCTCCTCCAAGACCCTCCAGAAGCCTATCTCCCTTGAGCTGGGACCCCTCCTTTTCTCTTCACTCCTCTTAATTCTTAATCCAGGAGCTGAGTAAATTGATTCCTAAGTCCACAGTAGGGGAGCTGAGTGAGAACTCCAGCAATGTTCTACAGCTTATCATGGATGCTTATAATGTGAGAGCCCAGGGTGTGTGGGGAGTGTTGAGGGTGGGCACTGGGGAAAGGCGGGAAGGGGCCCTTGGGTGCATAGGAGGTGGCATAACTAAGAGGGAATGATCACTTTTTGGCCTAACCTTCCACAGCTCCTACATTTTGTATATGATTGTCATTAATAGTGCACTCACTCAATCTTAGATTTGTAAACTTAAGTGTCTGCTATGTGCAAAGCGTGGAGCCCTACTCTGGTCAAGGGAGGAAACATTCATTGGGTTTCATTTCATGCCAAGCACTTTCCTAAGTGCACATACTGTTTGTTATCTCCTTTAACACCACTCAAACCTCTGCTTATTAACTATTATCATCCCCATTTTAGAGATGAGGAAACAGACACAAGGAAGGTAAGTGACTTTCCCAAGGTCACACAGATAACAAATAGAAGGGCTGTCCTCAGCCTGTCTGAACAAAAAATATGTGAGCCTGCTCTCAATAAGCTTGTAAACAATTCAGAGATATACTTCACTGGAGCCATAAAATTTTACAGGTAGAAGAAACCATAAAAATTCATGTTTCATGTGTTTAGACATTATCACAATTAGACTGTGAGTTTCTTGATGACAGGGACCAAACCAGTTTCCATCGAGTTGATTCTAATTCATGGAGACCCTATGTGTGATCCATAGAGTTTTTAGGGCTGTGATCTTTCAGATGTAGTTTGCCAGATCTTACTTCCAAGGTATCTATGGGTGGATTCAAACCACCAACCTTTTGGCTAATAGCTGAGTGATTTTTGTGCCATCCAGGGACTCCCTGATGACAGGGACTATGTTCCTAATTGATGGTGAGAAAATTTGAGACAGGATCAGATTTCCCAGGACAAACCCAATGTAAAGACTCTGCCCTTTAGACCTTGTTGAGGTTGTATGTCCTGACTTGGAGTTTGACAATTACGGTCACTGCACATTTAGTGCTTGGCCAGCCCTTAGTCTCTAGCAGGCCCTCACTGGCAGCTACACTGAAGTGCTGTATTCAGTCCTTTGAGGATTCCTGTCACTCTACTCACCGTTTTATGCACAGCTCTTTCCTCCAGAAATCCCTCCTCACTGGACAGTTGGAAGGCAGGGTTCTGGGAAGGAAGGTTAGGCAATTTACTTCCGTAGTGATACCACTGCCTTGGAAACTCAAGGAGGGGTCGCTGTGAGTTGGATCCGACTTGACGGCAGTGTTTGGTTTTGGGTTTAGAGAGAATGTGGGAGCTCTGGTGGTGTAGTGCCTAAGGCACTTGACTGCTAACCAGAAGGCTGGCGGATCAAACTCACCAGCCACTCCTTGGAAGGAAGGTTGGGCAATCTACTTCCATAGTGATACTGCCTCGGAAACCCAAGGAGGGGTTGCTATGAGTTGGATCTGACTCGATGGTAGTGAGTTTGGTTTGGTTAGAGAGAACATAATGGAGGTCTAGTGGCACAGTGCCTAAAGCATTTGACTGCTAACCAGAAGGTTGGTGGTTCAAACCCACCAGCCACTCTGCAGGAGGGAGACTGGGCAATCTACTTCCATAAAGATTTACGCCTCAGAAACCCTAAAGGGGGTCTCTATCAGTTGGAATCAACTCGATGCCAGTGAATTTGCTTTGGTTTGAGAGAGACATAAGGAGTCCTTGGGTGGCACAACTGGTTAATCATTCAACTAACTGAAAGATCAGTTGTTCAAACCCACTCAGAGGTGCCTTGGAAGAAAGGCCTAGTGATATGCTGCTGAAAGGTCATAGCCATGAAGACTCTATGCAGCACAGTTCTACTCTGCAACACACAGGGTTGCCACGAATCAACTGGACTTTTTTTCCTGGAGCCAGCATAAGATGGATTTGGAGTCCTGTCTTCATGTAGTTACTTACTCTCTGTCTTCCCACAGAGCCTGTCATCCACTGTGACCCTTAAACACGTTTCACCCCTTCCTGGGGTCCACATCTCTTATGAATCCCAGTGTGGAGGACCTGAGGAGAGAGATGGTAAAGCTGGTGACTGGGGCCAGTGCAATCATGTCCGAATCAACCAGACGGTGAGAGCCAGCCAGGAGAGGTGGTGGGATTGGGAAACTGAAGCAGGCAGAAAAGGATGGGGGCAGGCACAGAGAACAGTGCAATAGCATGGGGGCAGTCTTGCCTGTGTCCTTTCTGAGGGGTTTAATGGGCAGCCCCATTGAACACATCTTTAGAGGATGAGTATTAGCATGATCCTAACCCTTAGTCAATGTTCTGGATGATTAGTGGGGTCGGTGTGTGTGTGTGTGTGTGTGTGTGTAACCTTAGTCTGATTCCTGCTCACACTGTCCTCAGGTGAATTTTTGGGTTACTCTCAATGCCACCAACTGCCTCACAGAGACCCAGCTTCTGAGGTTTCGGGCCCTTGGCTTTTCAGAGGAGCTAACCGTGGAGTTACGCACACTGTGTGATTGTAATTGCAGTGACAACCAGCGTCGGGCTCCCCACTGCAGTAATGGCCATGGGCACCTGCAATGTGGGGTGTGCAGGTGAGGACCTCCTGATTCCCTTCATCCATCTGGGTCCCTGCAAATGAACCACCTTGTATTCCTGCTGGAAGTCTTCCATTCTCCCACTGGGGTCTCTAAGCATCTTCTTCGTAGAAGCCCCAAGACTCCACCATGAATTTTCTCCCCTGAAGCCTCCTGGATATGTCCAGATCCTCCCCTGGACCAGAAGTCCCTCTGCTCTTCTACCCCTCGGTGTTCCACTCTACTCTAGCATCCCTTCAGCCACGTGTCTCTTTCCAACTCTTGTTGGAACTTGGGTTTAGAGGACTCTGGGAAAGACAATTCAAAGTATGGTCAAAATGTGACCCACCTTTCTCTCCACTGCCCCCTTGCCTTCTTCTCCTAGTTGTCACCCTGGGCGTCGGGGTCGGCTCTGTGAGTGCTCTGAGGATGAGCTGTCCTCCCCGGATCTGGAGTCTGGGTGTCGGCCCTCCAATGGGACAGGTCCTTTATGCAGTGGGAAGGGACATTGTCAGTGTGGACACTGTAGCTGCAGTGGACAAAGCTCTGGGCGTCTATGCGAGTGTGATGATGCCAGCTGTGAGCGACACAAAGGCATTCTCTGTGGAGGTACCTGCAATCTTTGGGAGAAGAAGGGTGGGTTGGAGAGGTTCTCCCAAGGGCACTTAGGCTTTGGGAGCTTCATCGTACTATAATCAAGTATCAAAAGTTCTGAATGTGTCTGGTACACTTGAGGGATTTGGTGCACAGGTTTATGTACAGAATAGGTCAACTCTAGGTAGCTTTGGTGGCATGTGACACCCAATTGTGTGTGGGGAGTATGGTGGTCACCCTGTCCATGGCTCTGCCCCAGGTTTTGGCCGCTGCCAATGTGGAGTGTGTCACTGTCATGCCAACCGCACAGGCAGAGCCTGTGAGTGCAGTGGGGCTGTGGATAGCTGTGTTAGTCCTGAAGGAGACCTCTGCAGTGGTCATGGACACTGCAAATGCAACCGCTGCCAGTGCCTGGATGGCTACTATGGTGCTTTATGTGATCAGTGCCCAGGCTGCAAGACACTATGTGAGAGACACAGGTAAGGCCACAGGATCTGCATCTTGGGAGCCCCTGCACAGAGGGGCTTGCTGAGCACTCCTGCTTTCCTTTCTGCATGTGTGTGGGTGTGAGGACCAATGGGGGACAACTGGTCAGCTGGTAACTTCTTGGGGTCTGCTGGGCAGGGATTGTGCAGAGTGTGGGGCCTTTGGAACTGGTCCCCTGGCCACCAATTGCAACCAAACTTGTGCCCATGCCAACGTGACTCTGGCTTTGGCCCCCATCCTGGATGACGACTGGTGCAAAGAGAGGACCCAGGACAACCAGCTATTCTTTTTCCTGGTCGAAGAGGCAGCCGGAGGCAGGGTCATGCTGAGAGTGAGACCCCAAGAAAGTAAGTGGGTGGGGAAATGCTGTGGTCATGCAAAGTGCAGCCCTGTATGATGCAGAGCTCTTGGAAGATGGGGAGATAAAGATAAGAAACCAGGATGGGAACTTAAACAAAGCTGTGAATCATAGGGCAAAGGCAGAGGTGATGAGCCAATTGTATACGGCAAAGACACTGGGTCCCGAGAATAACTTTGGGGCCTGTTGGGTCCCCTCTGCTTTCAATGCCAGACGGCTGGGGAGGCTAGATGAGGCTGGGTACAGTGAGGGTCACTGTTGACCTATCCCTATACCTCAGCCCTCAAACGTTTGGGTCCTGTTTCTCCCCTTTAGAGGGAGCAGACCATACCCAGGCCATTGTGCTGGGATGCGTAGGGGGCATTGTGGCAGTGGGACTAGGGCTGGTCCTAGCTTACCGGATCTCAGTGGAAATTTATGACCGCCGGGAGTACAGTCGCTTTGAGAAGGAGCAGCAGCAACTTAGCTGGAAGCAGGTGAGGAGATTCTTCTGCCTACCCTTCCGGGTTGGGTTTTGCTTGCTTTTTCTGGTTGGACCCCTTTCTCACCCTCTGCTTCCTCACTCCACACCTACCCAACTCCTCCCATCTAGGCCATGCTCACATTGGTCTGCCCTTCCTCTGCACTCTTGCCCATACTTCTCTGCCCCACCCGTTAACTTCTCAGCATCTAGGGTCCTACCAAGTTCTGGATCGGCCTCTTATTACTAAAGGTGATGAGGACTCCTGGGACCTTCCCTCATTATTTCCAACCTCTTTCCCCCAGGACAACAATCCTCTCTACAAAAGTGCCATTACGACCACCATCAATCCTCGCTTTCAAGGAGCAGAGAATCCTCTCTCTGAATAGGGGAGGAACACCCATCCCAGGACTCTTCTCTCTGGAAGGACAATGGAACTTTTGTGGGATGATGGAGTCTATCAGGCAGTAGCCTGATTCAATGCCAAGGATCCCCACCTTACTTCATTTCAGTGATGCCAAAGAGGGCTGTCCCCTATTGCTGAGACCTTGCTCTCCTACCTCACCCCAGTGTACAATAAAGCAGCTTATCTCAGACCTCTGCTTTTCGCTTTACCCCAGCAAGGCCAAAGCAAGCTGGTTAGCCTGGGTCTCAGGAAAGGCCTGTTCATTCCTTCTACAGTTATTGAGGGCATGGAGAGGTTCCCTAACTTCAATGTGCAGAATGATGAAACAGGCTGATTCTCCAGACTGGTAGTGGGGTAGGGAACTCACTTCCCAGGTTAATTCTGATGCATGACTACAGACTACACATTGAGAGATGCTGCATTTGCAGTTGGTTCAAACCCACCAGCCACTACTCGGAAGGAAGATGCGGCAATCTACTTCCGTAGTGATACTGCCTCGGAAACCCAAGGAGGGGTTGCTATGAGTTGGGTCCGACTCAACGGCACATTAACAACAAACTTCATTCTGTCTTGCTATACATTTTTTTCCTCTCTTGTTCAGAGCTGATGCTCTTCTACTTATAGTTCCTCGAGTGGGAGATGGTTTTGAAACATTGATGTATAGGGAGCTCAAAGTCATGTGGTGGTCATACTTGGGGTATTGAAGGAAAACTACTCTGGCCCCAGTGAAAAGGCTTCCTTATAGACTTTTTTTTTTAAATAAAAAGGAGATAATATGTAGAAAATCCCCATTCTTTTTATTTAAATATCCTAATATATCACGAAGGAACATACACTGCACTTTAATGGTAAAAAGATACAAGTTTATAACATCTTATAAAAACTACCATTTAAAAGTGATCTTGTTCATTTGATATTCCCCTCCCCCAATAGCAAATTAAGTGTATTTAAAAAAAAAAAAAAAAAAGGTAGAAGAGGGATTGTTGAAGATAAAAGCCCCAGGGCAACAGCAAAGGCAAAAAGCATCTGGGGACGGGGTTAAAAGTTGTGGTAGGACTCCACTCCCTTAACCCTCCCGTATCAAGCCACGGGGTACTATCAGTAGCTACGTGATGACAAGAGGCTATTGGAGGGCGGACGGGAAAGACTTGGGGTGCTGGGAAGGGCAGGGCTGGCAGAGCTGCCCACCCAGAAACTGACACTCTTCTTTCCCAGGTCCCCAAATTCTACAACCCAGTCTGAACACCTGCCCTGTATCTCCCTTCCTCTTCACTCCAACACACCTGAGGCATCTTTCCAGTGCTAGGCCCCATCCCTGCTGGAGGATTAGGGCATTGGACCTAGGAGCCTTTGCAGCCAGTCTGAAGTCTGTGATTTCCCTGGGGTAGAGGTGGGGCTCCTGGGCCCTCTGGGCATCAATTCATTCTTCTCACCCATTGGCTCTTCTCGCCTCACACATCCACTGCCCTAGAACATCAACACTGGGACAAGTGAACTAACCACATGCTCCTGAGTTCCTCTACCTCCCATTTCCCAATAATCCTAGGCAGGAGTGGTTCTGGTATGGCCCTTTGCACATATGACCAGAAATTCCTTTCTTCATACCCACCCAGGCAGGAAGCTAAGGCCTATGTGAAGGGTCAGGTCACACTCTGATCTAGAACACTCACAAACTGAGAGTCTTAGATCACACCTATGATCCCCTTCATACACAGCCCTATCCTAGATTAGCTACAAGTGGGAAGGAGGGGTCTCCTATTTTCAAAAGCGCTTGGGAGGGTACATTTTTCTAAATGTAGCCTGCCTCCCAGAATATATTCCCAGAGGTGAAAAAGAAAATTCTCAGCCCCATCAGACCCTCTAACAAGAAGTGGGGCTGGCTCACATGCAGATATATGCCCCTGCTCACCGGGACCATAGGACAAATCCAAGGAGGTCTAGATTCTGGACTACATCAAACGGAGTGTCAACATAAAGCTAGCAGGGTACAAGGAAGCAAACACATTCCCAAGGAGTCTCAGATGCTGTTGGAAAATCAAAAGGTACGTACCCCTTCTTTCTCTCTGAAATATTCATACCTCAGAGGCATGGAGGACCCCCCTTGAAAACAGCCAGGAGCTTGTTGCTGCTATTTATTTCTTGTATTTCCTGGGAAATGAAACCATACTTCTGGAGGTTGCCATCTTAGATGTCCACTGACAACTTGGTGTTCAGTTCACCCAGTCCTCACGATTATTCCTAAAATGGTATCCCTGCCCCTACAAGTCAGGACAGGCCACAGTGGGGGTCAACTAACCCCCAGCACCTCCTGTAAGGCTCTTTTCCTTAGCAAGAAGAGGGTTTTTAGTTCACCTTAGAAAAAATTCATGTTTACAAGCCCCCTGGCTTGGGTTAGAAACATCTTAACCACCAGCCTACTGAATCAATTTAAAAAATCCTCTAAGACAAAGCTCACCTGCCCCTAAATTGAGTTCTTCAGTTCCTGCTGGGACCTGAAGCACCCTTCAGGTTTGTGAGGAAAGAGGGTGTTTTACGCTCATCCTCCCTGAAGCTGAGGACCCGAGAAGGGTTTGGCGTAATAATATGTCATCTCCTCCAAGCATACAAACATGAACACTTACACACACACACACACACACACCTGATCACTTTTTGGGGAGTAGGTGGGGTGGTGGTGTGGGAGCAGAGAGGAGCAAAGAATGATGGTTAAGAATAAAACCTACGTACATTAGGTTTTTCCTTCAGTTCTTTCTCTGAAGCCTCCATCCACCTCCACTATTTTTTGTTGGGTAGGAATGACCATCAAGAAGGAAGCCAAGATCATGTTCTTTGGGACAAAATATCAGATTCCTATTTCCTCTCCCTAAATACAGTGATAGGACTTAAGCAGGCAGAATACCTTCTACTGCTCAACAGTCATGTCAGGGGACACCAAATTCGTTTCTTCAACATTTGTTACCCACTTTGGACTAGTCTTGGGTTGTTCCTAAGAGGGCACAGAAAGAACCCACTTTTAACATCCATGACTCCTGCTCAATACTTCTGTCTGGCTTTAGGAGTCAATGGCAGTGAGGTAGCTACAAACTATCTCCAAGATCAACTGCCCAAAGAGAGAAGAAAAGGGATTTATGGGCCACTCCCACCCAAGTTTCCTCCAAAAGGCACTTGAGCTGACCTCATCAGGTACCTGTGTGGCATGGGCTATTACAATACCCATGGGCCCAACTCTTGCTCATCCCCTGAGGAAGTTAAGAGGTACCTGTCTACTCTTCTTCAGTCCTTGTCTGCTCCTCCCACTGTTCTTCCTTTTCGTCCCCAGTGTATAAAGAGGCCAAAGTAAGCTCAGCTGCCATCCCTAATCTTATTCTCCCTCAAACAGGAGGTGAAGTGCAGAACTGTGGAATACTGAGCAACTAAAAACTCAATTTTGGGGGAGGGCTAGACCAGCCATAGTCCTTGCTTTGTACCAGGACTCTATGCTTCCAGATTACCTGCATCCACAGTTTATCTGCTGAAATTGCTTTTGGATAAACAAAAACAAGAACAAAACAAACAAACAAAAAATCCCCTTCCCCAATCTTTTCCTTTTCAGCTGCCAGCTGGAGTCCAAGGTTGCGGGAGCCACACTTCAGTCTTGGTCCTGTACCTTGAGTCCCCCTCTTACGACCTCAGCCAAGGGTCCAGGGATAAGTTCCCCCACCCAGGAATGCTGTAGACCTTCCCCGAGATACTCATAGTCTCAGATTATTTACAGAGCTGAGGGTCTGGGGCTTCTATCCCCTGATGCAACCTTCTGGTCTCCTGGGTCCACTCCTCCAAGAGGGGGGCAGGTACAGACAGGGTGGTGGTGGGACCAGCGACCTGAGGGGGTGCGCTCGTTGGTAGATTCTTCTAATCACTCCCACCACCAAGGGCCCCTTGCACCTATAGAGAAAACTGCCCGTCGGAAGTCTTGGACTGGCACCCTTGGCACATCCGTTTGTGTCTGAGTAATCGATCTGTTCGAGAAAAACACTGAGAAAAGAGGAAGGGTTAAGTGCCTGAAAGGAGATATTTAGCCACCTGTCAGTACACATCACACTCTATGTCTCCTCAGTATGTACACAGATGGCATGAGAACACAGTCCTGGCTCCTGACTTACTACCTGTGTGACCTTAGGCAAGTTTTCTAACAGCCCTGAATTGGTATGCTCATCTTTAAGATGGGGCTGAAAGGATCTGCTCACAGCATGTCTCTTTCACCTCATCAAAAATTTACTTAGTATCTATCTTGAGGCAGGTACAGTTCTTGGTGCTGAGGATACAGTAGAGAACAAGTGAAACAAAGTCTCTGCTCTCACAGAACTTTATGTTTTGACTACTCAATGGAAGAGTGTAGAGCAATGCTTGAGACCCAGCAAAGCATTCAGGAAGTGTTAGCTGTTATCATTCCCATCTCTTGTTCTTGTCTAACTTTGGTCCTGGCTCTTACATCCTCATCAGATGACACTACCCCCCAGGGCAGAGATTATATCTCTTCCTCTGAAGTACAGAAGCTCTGAAGTTGGACTGAATCCTGGCTCTGGCCTTTCTCTGCTGTGTCCTTGGAAAACTTAACCACTCTGAATGTCAATTTTCCCATATACGAAATGAGGATAATGACAACTACCATGTACAGTTGTTGTGAGGATTAAATGAAATGATATTTATGAAGTACCTCATAACAGTATCGAACAAAGAGTAAGAGTTTAAGAAATGCTATTGTTATTATTACAATTTTTCTAACGGCTCCCACCCACGATCAGGTGCATGAAGCTAGTAAGATGCACTTAACTGAGGTGCTGACCCTTTTGAGTGAGGAACATGTCGTGGCCCCTTTATCAAGGCAGAGAGTAGGGGATGGCCCTAGTCAAGGAAAAGTGTGTGTGTGGAGGCTAGGGGGATGACATGTAAGCCTTACCTGATGACACCGTTCACATTGGTAAGGCTTTTCACCACTGTGCACACGCTTGTGGCGCTCCAGATGGTATTTCTGGATGAAGCGCATATCACATATATCACACTCAAATGGCTTCTCACCTGGCCCAGGTAGAGAGGGGAGTGAATGTCAGGAGTTATATATGGTAGAGAACTCATTTCAGGTGTTTTCCCAGACACTTTACCTCTTAGCAATGTATTTAGGCACTACACCACCAGAGCTCCTACAGACACCTAAGCTATCATAAATGGGGAGAAGTCCTTAAAGTGCCTGGTTCCAGTGGCACTAGACATAAGAGTCATGCAATTTCTTTACCTCATTCACTTGCCTTCTTCCTCAATTTCTAGTATATGCCCTTTAAAATAAACCCAACTAGGGTTCTAACTAGGAGCTCTGGTAGCATAGTGCCAAAGGCATTTGACTGCTAACCAGAAGGTTGGCAGTTCAAACCCACCAGCCACTCCTCGGAAGGAAGGTTGGGCAATGTACTTCTGTAGTGATACGGCCTCGGAAAACCAAGAAGGGGTTGCTATGAGTCAGGTCTGACTCGACGGCACCTAACGACAACAACAACAGGGTTCTAAACCGACACAGAACACAGACTACCCTCTAAATATAGAAAAAAGAATACAGATAACATAGATAAGAGACTTACCAGTATGAATAAGGATGTGCCTCTTGAGGTGGTAACTGCTCCTAAAGGCTCCAAAGCAGCGTTCACAAATAAAATTTTTTGGAATCTTTACTTGAAAAGAACCATTTTGTTCCACTACCACCACCTGGGGGCAACAATCAGGCATGTCATGAGGCTATTCCTCCGTGTCTTTCCTGGAGAGACCATTCTACTCTGTGTCCTCTTCCAGCTGCTGGACAAAGGAACCTGTCTGTTGCTTGGCTTGCTCTACTCTGACTAAAGGTGTGGTCATCTACCATGTGCCTTCGTTAAGAGACCCTCTTCTGGGGCAGGTGTGGTGGGTATGCCAACTGCCTTATCAAACCCAACACTCTGAATACAACCTGAGGGAGAGTCTGCCTGGACCTCTGGCAAAGAATCCCACGCTTATCCCCTTCTCTCTTCTAGCAAGGATGTTCCAGAGAAAGCAGAGATCAACTACCAAAGTGGTTTCTAGATGAAACAAGGCTGACACACTGGCTGTGAGGGACCAAATTTTCTGGAAAAGTTCCAAACTGAATCACAGGGGGAAGAGGACTACCCCATCACCCAACCACACAAGTTCAGGGGATTACCCCATTACCTGCCTTTTTAACAGTCTTTTTCGAATGAGAGGCCTCAGCCAAGCTGTCATCATCTTTGCGGCTCCGGGACTTATCACTGTCTTTTCGGTGGCCCTTTGAATACAAACAAAATCTAAACTCATAGTCCATCTCAGAATAAAAGACAGGTAACGATGTTGTTTTCAGATATGAAATCATAAATAAGAGTAAACCGTTTGCTGTAACAGCTTATCATCCATTTCCTCTCTACAGACCCTGGTCTTAAGGGGTATAGGTAGAGAAAAGGTCTTCATTAGCTCTCTAAAATATCCAAGTTCATTCATTCATCCCCAGCTGGATCCCCTTTTGTCACTTTCCTAAATGGAAGCACTGAGGAAGCAAAACTTGGCATCTCCTGGCAGAGAGCCTAGGCCACCCAACCCCGAGACGCCACAATGGACTCAAGCGCCGTACCTGACTCGAGCACCTCAGCACATCAGGGCTACCTGCCCGCTCGCCATTCTCAGCCTGCTTGCTAGCAATCTGGCTCAGCATCATCTTCTTGCTGGCTGCAGTGGGTACCAAACTCACACCTGCTAGGCCTTCACAAGCCAGGAGACTTGCCTAAGTTGAAAGGAGATAAGGTGTCAGGTCACCTGGCAGGACGGGGCAAAACAGGCTGTTATCGTATAGAACTCTTTCATATCTAATTACAAACAAACTGCTTCTCTCTAAAAAGTGTCACAGTTCACTTCCAACCTCTGCTGCTTTCAAGAGTCTGCCCTCACTCATCTCACCAGGAACTAATTGCTTATTTGGAACTATTTTATCATGAAGCGTGTATCACATATATCACACTCAAATGGCTTCTCATTTGAGACATAGACATATGTCTATGACATGTCTATTTCATTAATACTGTGCCAAATAAAACGTGTATGTATATGCCTTACTTTCAAGATATTTCTAGGCCATAACTGTAAGTGAATATGAGGGTCTGTTCTGCTAATCCACAGAAATGGGAGAGTCCTAGGGGACTGTCCTTTTTCTCCCAACAGGACTCAGCTTCACAGAGCCTATTCACAGAGCCTATTTCTGGTAAGCAAGCCTCACTGGTGCCCACTATATATTCTATCATGTCCCACTAATATGCTTATCAGTAAATATAGGTCATTTCTTCTTTTACATTTTAAATTCCCTAAGTGTTGTCAATTAAAAGGATATAAAAATCAAACCACTTGGAAAGATTTTGGAGTTGAATGTATAATTTCTTTTGACCCCCCCCCCCCAGGCCATTTATATGTGTGCATATGCATCCACATTTCTTCACAATCCATGCTCTACAGCTTTAAAAAAACTACCTATGCAAGGGATGTTTAAGCAGATTTTCACTTCTCATCATCACTACATGCTTCAAAGTAACCTTACTTAGCCAGCATTAGAGACTATACTTTTCTTACTAAAGAAAACCTTTTAAGAAACAGTTGGTCAGCAAACTCCAAAAAATGCCTTGCCTTAAATGCAAAACGCCTATTGTACTACCTATCCTCACAAGGTTGCTGAGGATTAAATGAAGATGTAAAATGCTTAGCAGTGTCCCTCAAAGGCAGCCTTCTCAGAACAAGAGCTGCTGTGAAGTATGTTGCAAACAGACAAAGAAGAAGAAACTCAAGGGTTCTTACCCTGCATGGAAAGGAGGAAGCTGTACATGCAGAGGCAGCTGGAAGAAAGCCAATTATACTACAGTCAGGCTGCCATCCTGGTGAGACTGGTAAGGGAGGTTCCCTGGAAGACAGCTAGGAGTAGCTTTGGGGATGCATGCACACAGAGCCTCTACGGACACAATTACAATAGCTTAGCTGGTCATTCTGTTTCTCCAATTCATCCTTCAATCCCATCATGACAATTACCTTCTAAACACACTGATCTGCTGTCATTCCGCTGTGTAACATTCTTCAGAGTTCCCATTCCCTAAACAACAAAGTCTTTAGCAAGACAAAAAAGGCCCTTGGGTTAGACTGCTTACTTCTCCAGGAGCTAACTCTCCCCTCTTACCACTGAAAAAAAAAAAAACCTCACTGCTGTCGAGTTGAATCCGACTCATAGGGACGCCTCCTTGAGTTTCTGAGGTGGTAGCTCTACAGAAGTAGATTGCCCAGTCTTCCTTCTGAGGAGTGACTGGTGGGTTTGAACCGCCAGCCTTCTTGTTAGTGTAAATCCTTTGTTCCATTAGTAGCAAACTACGGAGTCTTCAACTGCATCATGTTTTCCCATGCCTCTAAGCCCCTGCCCATACAGTTCCCCTTGTCTCAATGTCCTTCTGTTTGCTTATCTAGCAAAAGCCTGTGGATCTTTCAAGACTCATCTTTGTTCATTCAGGCAGAAGTATCAGTCTTTCCTCAGCAGTGTTTATTATTAAACATTCTACTATCAAACATTCCTTCAATCACTGAGTTTCTACTAGCCAGCCACTCTGCAAGGTGCTGTGAATATAAAGACATACATTGTCTCTTCATCCCCCATCTCTGCCAACTAGTCTGGAAGCTAGTTGGGGGCAGTGACAGTCTTATTCATCTTTATATCACCAGCACAATGCCTGATATGTAACAGGAGCTCCATAAATTCCTGTTGAAAAACAAATGAAGCATTGACCAGATTGTTTACTCCTCATGCCCCTCAGCACTTAATGTACCAAGTATAAACTGAGTACCCGTTGCTTTCCAAGTGTCCCATAAGTGCCTGTGATGCAGCATAGCCTACCTCCTTCATTTGACTGGAAGCTCCCTGAAGGCAGGGGCTGTGGCCTGTCTCCTTTCCTTCCTCTAGATCTCCCCCCGGTGCTTAATACAGAGCTTGGCTCACTGGGGTTGGTCAATATGTTGACTAAGGCAGCATTCAAGAGTGAAATTGCAAACACGCTTCCCAGTGATCTTGAAGTAGGAGGACTCTAGAGCTTTTTACCTGAGCCATGCTGATTTCTCACTTAATGTAACCCAAAAGTTCAGGAGTTTCTTGATCCACTTTTCCTTAGACAATGTCGTTTGAAGAAAGAACTGTCACCATATCACTGTAACGACTCCTCTGTGTCCCTTCAGTCCTGCTGCCATATTGAACTGCCTTTGCCTTCAAATAGAATTTAGTGTCCTCCAAAGGAAAGATAGGTGTTTGAAGAATCCCTGGATTCCACCTGGCTCCTGCCTATTGTCTGAAGAAAAAGAGTCTGCTGGTCTTGCTCTTCCAGTTGAATTCTCTCGTTGAGGCTCAAGATCTCTTTCAGAAATCTGAAACCAGAAAGGGAGATGGGGCCATTAGGAGTAACATCCTCAGGCCATATAACCCGCGTTGGGCTGAACATTTTTGCTGGACCCTCTTAAAGTTCAGAAAATGGTCAGGAGTCAAGAACAGTTCTCTTTTTTCCCTGTCAGTAGAACTAACAGGTCTCTGGGGCAAGAACGGAAGCCAGCAGGAGCAAAAGTAACTGGGACCTCTCTTGGAGAAACTCTGCCCACACAGCAGGCACTTGGATTTGCTAATTTAGGAATGGGAGAAGGGGGCGGAGGCCCTTTGAGGCTTTTGTGCCGAGTGGGCTGGCCCACGAAACTGGCACTCTATATAGGCCGCCTGGAAAACCCAGAAGGAGGAGGAAACCTCCGGGGCCATCGCTGAGCGCTTGAGTGTCGAGCAGAAACTAGACAACCAGTGCGCACCCCGGTCCAGGTCACACGTGCGCGTTCTGTAAGTCTGCCCGAAGGTACGGAAACTCGCTGCGGAGGAGGAGGACAGGGAGGCGAAGCTCTGCGCTGCGCGTTCCCTCGGTTCTGCCGGCCAGCAGCTGAGCCCGGGGCACCAACCCTGAGGAGTGCGCCGAGGAGCGTGCTCGCGCCTGCTCTCCCTCAGTCAAGCCCGGCTCTCCCAGACAGGGGACGCGGCTGGACGCGCGGGCTGGGGGCGGTGCGCGCGCTCGCGGCCCCTTCCCTTCCCTCGGTGAGCCCCCTCCTTTCGCCACGCGCCCCTCCTCTCTTCCCCTCCCCCTTACCGCGCGGCGTCCCGCGGCCTGCGAACTGCTGAAGCGCTGCCCTCTGCCCGGACGACGCTGGCTCCCTGGGGCGTGCTCCTACCTGCCAGGCGCGGCCTCCCACTGTCTCCCTCGCTACGCAGCGCCTCCTCCAGGCTCCAGCACACCGTGCCAACCCCGCGGTCGCCGCTGCCCCAGCCGGGACCGAGGCAAGTTTACAAACACCAACCCGGGGCCTGTTTCCCCGGAAGCACTTCCCTCCTCCCCCTCGTCCTCTCCGCCGAGCAGCAACATCCACTTCCGGGCTTGGAGTCCGGACGGGCGGGGCAGCCTGAAAGGGGGTGAGGCTGGGTACTCCGGGAGGGGTTGGTGCAGCTGGTGTGTGGGCGGTGTTGGAGCGGGGAAGGTCAGCAGGTGGGTGGGCCAGCAGGAAGGCGCGTGCGCTTTGGCGAGGATGAGGCCTAGCGGCCATCTTGACTGAGGGCAGGAACGAGGGTCCTGAAGTATTTCTGTGCTGGTTGCTCGTTGAGAGGGTTTGCTAGGTGAGTTGGTTAAAACACCTTGAGTAGCGCCATGATTCTCCCCCCTCATGGAAGTTATCTTCGCTGCTTCTGAGCCTGAAGTTCTAAGTATGGCCAGAATAATTTGAACCCAGCCTTTTCATGGAATTTGGCCAAGGTTGTCTTCTGAGGTTTTTCCATCAGGCCTAGATCTGCAAATCCTGGGTACGCCCTGAATCTGCACGCTCAACCACGATCTGAAAATGAGTGCTCTCCCAGAGGCTTTGCCCATGTAGCCAGAGGCCGCAGTGCTCAAGTCTCTGAAGATGTCCGAGTGCCCCTGGCTAGTCCAGTTACCTTATGCTGCTTCCCCCTTTATTCCAGATCATTCGGTGTCTTACATGGGCCTCTTCGCGGCCAACGGACTCCCCGTAGGGAGGCTATAGGTTGGCTAGAGACTTGATGCAGTTTGATCCCAGTCTGGACTTTATTATGAAAATAGAAACTTGAGTCTTTCCTCAATTTCTACACCCCATTTTAGCTATTAGAGAGGGGTCCTGCTAAAGATGGACTTAGGCAAAGTGCACTTGATGGAATGAAGAAGAGTCAACTCCCCTTAGGTCGCAGTATCTGCTGTAGGTGCTATCAGGTTGTGAGTTTAGGAGGCTAAATGGCAATACCCAGAACTCTTATTATGAAAGAAGTCAAGAATTCCTAACCTCTTTTTTTAAATTGTGTTTTAGATGAGAGTTTACATGGCAAATTAACAATTTAACAATTTTTACCCAACTTTTTCCATGACACCAGTTATTTTCATGTTTCATATTCTCATTTCAATTCTGTTGTTTTTCTGTTTTCATTAATCTAACTTCCGTGCCTCTCCTACGCTTCTCATCTTTGCTTTAGGGTAAATATTGACCATTTGGTCTGGTATTTGGTTATTTAAGGGAGCACAGTATTCCTGGGTAATATTGTTTATTTTATAATCCAATCTATTTGGATGAAAGGTGACTACTGGGAGTGGCTTTAGTTCCAAGTTCAAGCAGTGCCTTAGGGTGATAGTCTAGGGGGTGCCTCTGGTTTCTAACAGTTGGATAAATCTGGCCTTTTTCAGGAATAGAATTTTCTTCTACTCCCAACCTTTTTTTTTTTTGTACACAGACTTTATTTCTTTGGGCACTCCACATTTTGGGCCATTGAAAGTAAGTTCCTCTTACTTAATCTCAATATAAAATTGAGATAATATGGAGGGAGAGAGAAAGAGATGTCACCAGAAATAAGTCTCCCCGCCAAAAAGAAAACAACTCATACTTATTTTAAGAAATCCAAACACAAAAGTATAAAAGACAGAAAATGTTTAGTTTCCCCTTCTACTATCTCATACTCTTGAACGCAGTCACTGTTTTCAGTTTGGTATATATACCTCCAGATGTTTTTGTATGAAAACCAAACTCTTGCTGCCATTAAGTCAGATCTGACTCATAGTGACCCCTCCTTGGGTTTCTGAGGCGATATCACTACAGAAGTAGATTATCTGGTCTTCCTTCAGAGGAGTGGCTGGTGGGTTTGAACTGCTAGCCTTCTGGTTAGCAATCAAAATGCCTGAGGCGCTATGCCACCAGAGCTCCTATACGCGTACAAAATTTTTTTTCATCTAGTGCATATTTATTGAATACTTGAAATATGCCATACAAATGTATTTTAGACATCTTTTACATCAATATACATTTTAAAAAAGATTTAATTTTATTTTTGTTGAAAATGTTTACACTTTAATGTACACACTCTCCCATTCTACATTTTCTAGACATAATGATCAGTGACATTGGTTACATTCTTCACATTGTCTTAACATTCTTGATCTTTCTGTTCTAGTTGTTTCACTTTCAATTATTTAAACTCTCTGCCATCAACCTTCTCATTTATGCTTTAAAATAGATGTTGACCCTGTAGCTTTTTATAGAATAATGCTTTTTTTTTTTAAAAAAAAACTTAAGGTTGTCAGTTTACATTTAAAAATTGTTGTATATTATTCCAGTTGAGGTGAAACAACTGCAAATACCCATTTATAATTGGAATATGAAATGTATGAGGTATGGATCTCAGAAAATTGAAAGTAGTCAAAAATGAAATGGAATGCTGGAAGATTGATATCCTGGGTAATAGTGAGCTGGAATGGACTGGTATTGGCCATTTTAAATCGTATAATCATGTGGTCTACTATGCTGGGAATGACAGATTGAATAGGAATGGTGTTGTATGCATTGTCAAAAAGAACATTACAAGATCTATGTTGTACAATGCTGTCAGTGATAGGATGATGTTGATACACCTACAAGAAAGACTAGTCAATAGGACTATTGTTCAATTAAATGCATCAACCACTAAAGCCAAAGATAAAAAGATTGAAGATATTTAGCAACTTCTGCAGTCTGAAATGACCAAATATGCAATCAAGATGTGTTGATGATTACTGGTGATTGGAACGCAAAAGTTGGAAACAAAGACAAAGGATCTGGTATCTGGAAAATACGGCCTTAGTGATAGATACAATGCTAGTGATTACATGATAGAATTTTATGAGATCAACAACTATTCATTGCAAATACTTTTTTCAGCAACATAAACAGTGACTGTACATGTGGACCCCACCAGATGGAACACACAGGAATAACAATTACATCTGTGGAAAGAGATGACAGAAAAGTCAATATCATCAGTCAGAATGAGGCCAGGAGCTGACTGTGGAACAGGCCATCAATTACTCATATGCAAGGTCAAGTTGAAGCTGAAGAAAATCAAAGCAAGTCCACAAGATTCAAGCCTTGAGTATATCTTACCTGAGTTTAGAGACCATCTTAAGAATAGATTTGACATATTGAACACCCTTTAGTGAGCGCTCGAGCAGTTAATCAGCTACTCAGTTTTTTTTTTTGTAATTTAGGTGAAAATTTGTAGAGCAAATTCACTTTCCATACAGCAGTTCACGTGCACTTTGTCTCATGACATTGACTATAATTTACCACAATGCAACAGCTCCCCTCCCACTTCCTCCTGATAGTTACCTCTTCCCTGTTTCCATCCCTCCTTGCACTCCTGCCCCCTAAGCTGTCTCCCTGTGCACAAACAGCCCTTCTTTCTCCCCTGATTGTTCTCTCCAAGGAGTGTACCTACCTCAGGTAAATGTTCAACTCATACGCCTGTCTTTTGTTTGGCTGGAAGCCACAGGTGTGGGTTCAATTCCAGACCTGAAGGACAGCTATGGGCCATAGTCCCAATGGTTCTACCAGGCTCTATCAGACCAGTAAACCTGGTTCCCCCTTTTTTTTTTCTTTCCAAGTGATTTTGAGTTTTGTTCCACATTGTTCTCCCTCTCTATCCAGGATCTCCTACATAGATCCCTCTCCAAGTAGTTGATAGTGGTAGCTGGGCACCATCTGGTTCTTCTGGTCTCATACTCATATAGGCTGTGGATCGCATGGTGTGCTAGTTGGTAGGACTAATTCTTTCTATGAATCTTTGTTTTTTTCATTGTTCTTTGCTCTGGATGAGGAGACTCATCGTTTCATCTAGATGGCTGCTTGCAAGCTTTTAAGATCTCAGTCGCTACTTGCCAAAGTAGGAGGTGGAACAGTGTTTTGTGTAGTATGTTATGCCAATTGAGCTTGACATCCCCTGTGACTATGGTCCCAAGCCCACAGGTTCAACTACTTGGTCCCTCTGGGTAGCTGGCTGTGACCAAGAAGTGACTACAGTCTTTACTGAAGGCCAGATGAGTTGTGTGATGACATCAAGGACGTCATACATGAAGAAAGCAAAAGGTCATTAAAAAGACAGGAAGAAAGGACTGAAATGGGTGTCAGAAGAGACTCTAAAACTTGGTCTACAATGCTAAAGCAAATGCAAAAAGTGCTGAAGTGAAAAAGCTGAGCAAAAGATTTCAAAGGGTGGATCAAAAAGACAGTATTATGATGAAATGTGCAAAGTCCTGGAGTTAGAAAACCAAAAGGGAAGAACACATTTGACATCTCTCAAGCTGAAAGAACTGAAGAAAATTTCAAGCCTCGAGTTGAAATACTGAAGGATTCTGTGGGCAAAATATTGTATGGCACAGGAAGCCTCAAAAGAAGGTGGAAGGAATATAAAGTCACTGTACCAAAAAGAATTAGTCAACATTCAACCATTTTGGGAGGTAGCAAGTGAAATGATGGTATTGAAGGAAGAAGTCCAAGCTGCACTGAAGGCATTGGGGGAAAATAAAGCTCCAGGAACTGATGGAATGCCAATTGAGATGTTTCAACAAGTGGATGCAATGGTGGAAGCACTCACTCATCTTCCGAGAAATTTGGAAGATAGCTACTTGACTGGAAAAGATCCATATTTGTGCCCATTCCAAAGAAAGGTGATCCAACAGAATGTAGAAATTATTGAACCATATCATTAATATCACATGTAAGTAAAATTTTGCTAAAAGTAATGTAAAAATGGTTGTAGCAGTACATCAAGAGGAAATTGCCAGAAATTCAAGCCGGATTCAGAAGAGGACATGAAATGAGGAATATCATTGCTGACATCACATGGATCTTCACTGAAAGCAGAGAATACTAGGAAGATGTTTACTTGTGTTTTATTGACTATGCAAAGGCATTCAGTTGGGTGGGTCTTAACAGATTATGGATAACATTGAGAAGAGTAGAAATTCCAGAACACTTAATTGTGTTCATGAAGAATCTGTACATATA